TTTCCCGTGAATTCCGGTGATTCCCGCTGGGAATTCCCGTTATTCCGGCTGGGAATTCCCGCACAGGAGCAGTTGATGCTGTCCATCCCGCCCCAGCACTCTCCCGTTCCTTGGACTGAATTCCCGCTGGGGTTTCCCCCGGTGATTCCCGGTGATTCTCCCGGTGGTGCCCGCTGGGAATTCCGCCCTCAGGAGCGGCTGATGCTGTCCATCCTGCCGGGACTCCCGCCGTGTTTTCCCCCGGTGATTCCCGCTGGGATTCCCCTGGTGATTCCTGCCGTGTTTTCCCGTTTTTCCCGGTGATTCCCGCTGGGAATTCCCGTTATTCCGGCCGGGAATTCCCGCACAGGAGCAGCTGATGCTGTCCATCCTGCCGGGACTCCCGCCGTGTTTTCCCCCGGTGATTCCCGCTGGGATTCCCCTGGTGATTCCTGCCGTGTTTTCCCGTTTTTCCCGGTGATTCCCGCTGGGAATTCCCGTTATTCCGGCCGGGAATTCCCGCACAGGAGCAGCTGATGCTGTCCATCCTGCCGGGACTCCCGCCGTGTTTTCCCCCGGTGATTCCCGCTGGGATTCCCCTGGTGATTCCTGCCGTGTTTTCCCGTTTTTCCCGGTGATTCCCGCTGGGAATTCCCGTTATTCCGGCTGGGAATTCCCGCACAGGAGCGGCTGATGCTGTCCATCCTGCCGGGACTCCCGCCGTGTTTTCCCCCGGTGATTCCCGCTGGGATTCCCCCGGTGATTCCTGCCGTGTTTTCCCGTTTTTCCCGGTGATTCCCGCTGGGAATTCCCGTTATTCCCGCTGGGAATTCCCGCACCGGAGCGGCTGATGCTGTCCATCCCGCCCAAGCACTCTCCTGCTCCTTGGACTGAATTCCCGCTGTGTTCTCCCCCGGTGATTCCCGGTGATTCCCCCGGTGATTCCTGCCGTGTTTTCCCGTTTTTCCCGGTGATTCCCGCTGGGAATTCCCGTTATTCCCGCTGGGAATTCCCGCCCTCAGGAGCGGCTGATGCTGTCCATCCCGCCGGGATTCCCGCTGTGTTTTCCCCCGGGGATTCCCGGTGATTCTCCCGGTGGTTCCCGCTGGGAATTCCGCCCTCAGGAGCGGCTGATGCTGTCCATCCTGCCCAAGCACTCTCCCACTCCTTGGACTGAATTCCCGCTGTGTTTTCCCCCGGTGATTCCCGTTTTCTCCTGGTGATTCCCCCGGTGATTCCTGCCGTGTTTTCCCGTTTTTCCCGGTGATTCCCGCTGGGAATTCCGCCCTCAGGAGCGGCTGATGCTGTCCATCCTGCCCAAGCACGTGGCGGAGGAGCTGCTGCGGGAGATGAAGAAGGACCCGAGCCAGAAGGAGCTGCAGCAGTTCAACACCATGTACATGCACCGCCACGAGAACGTCAGGTCGGCACATCCCGGGATGGGAAAAGAAAAAATTCCCGGGAGAAAAAAAAATCCCGGGGAAAAAAAAAAACCGGGGGAAAAAAAAAAAAAATCTCGGGGAAAAAATAATCCAAGGGAAAAAAATAATTCGGGGGAAAAAAAAATTACAGGAAAAAAAATCTCGGGGAAAAAAAAATCCGGGGGAAAAAAAATCCCGGGAAAAAAAAATCTCGGGAGAAAAAAAAATCTCGGGGGAAAAAAATCCCGAGAAAAAAAAAATCCCGGGAAAAAAATTATCCAAAGAAAAAAAAATTACAGGGAAAAATATTCCCGGGGAAAAAAAAAATTCCAGGGGGAAAAAAAATCCGGGAAAAAAAATAATCCAGGGGAAAAAAATTCCGGGAAAAAAAAAATTCCAGGGGAAAAAAATTCCGGGGGAAAAAAAAATTCCAGGGAAAAAAACCCCCAAAACATTCCATGTGAAAAAAACAGGGAAGGAAACCCTGGGAATGGCGCCCCCGGAATTCCGGGATTTGCCGTCCCCGGTTGGGTTTGGGTGGGGGGAGATGGGAGTGGAGAGAATTCCCAGAGGGAAAGGGAGACTGGGAGGGAATTCCCGGCTGGGCTGGAATTCCCAGAGAATCCCTGGGAATATCCAAGGAAAAGCCGGATCAGGGTTGGGAATGGGGTGGGGTTGGGAATCCGTGGATCCCATCCCAAGGAATTCCGGGATCCAGGATCCATCAGGATCCATCCCGAAGGGATTTTTATGGAATTCTGGGATAGGGAGACCCTTCCTGGAGTCGCCAATTCCCAGGGAATTCCCAAAATCCCTTCCCTTGGGATGGGGCTGGATCCAACCCCAGGCTGGGAATGGAGGGGATTCCATGGGGAAAAACGGGGAGGGATTTGGGATTTTGGGAAGGAATTCCCAGGAAATCCCTGGGAGCCTCCACGGAAAGTTTGGAACCACCAAAATCCTTCCCAAGAATTCCCGGATCCATCCCAAAAGCCCTCATTTTCCCGAAGATTTTTCCCGGGAATCAAAACCCCATCCCACAAACCGGGAGCGCCTCCTCCCAAGGGAAAGGAAATCCCGGGAATTTTTTATTATCAATTTATTTTTTGGGATAGAAACCCGGGAATTCCGGGAGTTCTGGATCGACTGAAAAGGGATCTCAGGCTGGAATCTTGGGAAGGAATTCCCGGCCAGGCTGGAATTCCCGAAGATTTTTCCCGGGAATCAAAACCCCGTCCCACAAAATGGGAACTCCTCTTCCCAAACAAAACTGAATCCTGGGAATATTTTATTATGAATTTATTTTTTTGGGGTAGAAACCCGGGAATTCCGGGAATTCCGGGATGCTGGATGGGCTGAAAAGGGATCTCAGGCTGGAATCTTGGGAAGGAATTCCCATCCGGGCTGGAATTCCCAGCGATTTATGCCGGGAATCAAAACCCCGTCCCACAAACCGGGAGCGCCTCTTCCTCCTCTTCCTCTCCCAAACAAAAGCGAATCCTGGGAATTTTTTTTTTATTTTATTTTTTTTTTTTTTTGGGGGGGGGGGGTGTGGAAATCCCGGGAATCCCGGGAATCCCGGGAATTCCGGGCTGACGGTGCGGGCTGTTCCGGCAGCATCCTGTTCGCGGACATCGTGGGCTTCACGCAGCTCTCGTCGTCCTGCAGCGCCCAGGAGCTGGTCAAGCTCCTCAACGAGCTCTTCGCCCGCTTCGACAAGCTGGCCGCCGTGAGTGCCTCCCCCTGGGAAAACTATTCCCGGGAAAAAAAAATCCCCGGGAAAAAAGAAAATCCCCGGGAAAAAATCCCCGGGAAAAAATTCTGGGGAAAAAATCACCGGGAAAAAATTACCGGGAAAAAATTACCGGAAAAAAATCCCCGGGAAAAAAAATCCCCGGGAAAAAATTCTGGGGAAAAAATCACCGGGAAAAAATTACCGGAAAAAAATTACCGGGAAAACAATTCCCGGGAAAAAATCCCCGGGAAAAAAAAAAAATCCCCGGGAAAAAATTACCGGGAAAAAATTACCGGAAAAAAATTACCGGGAAAACAATTCCCGGGAAAAAATCCCCGGGAAAAAAAAAAAATCCCCGGGAAAAAATTACCGGGAAAAAATTACCGGAAAAAAATTCCCGGGAAAACAATTCCCGGGAAAAAAAAATCCCAGGGAAAAAAAAATCCCCGGGAAAAAAAAAATCCCCGGGAAAAAAAAAACCCCCGGGAAAAAATCCCCGGGAAAAAATTACCGGGAAAAAATTCCTGGAAAAGAATTCCCGGAAAAAAATTCCCAGAAAACAATTCCCAGAAAAAAATTCCTGGGAAAAAAATCCAGGGAAAAAATTACTGGAAAAAAATCCCCAGGAAAAAATTCCTGGGAAAAATATTCCCAGGAAAAAAATCCCCGGGAAAAAAATCCGCGGGAAAAAAAATTACCGGGAAAAAAATCCCTGGGAAAAAATTACCGGGAAAAAATTCCTGGAAAAGAATTCCCGGAAAAAAATTCCCAGAAAACAATTCCCAGAAAAAAATTCCTGGGAAAAAAATCCAGGGAAAAAATTACTGGAAAAAAATCCCCAGGAAAAAATTCCTGGGAAAAATATTCCCAGGAAAAAAATCCCCAGGAAAAAAATCCCCGGGAAAAAAAATTACCGGGAAAACAATCCCCGGGAAAAAAAATTCCCGGGAAAAAAATTCCTGGAAAAAAATTCCCAGTAAAAAATTCCCAGAAAAAAATTCCTGGGAAAACAATTCCCGGGAAAAAAATTCCCGGGATTCCAGGAAAAAAAAAAAAAAAAAATTTAAAATATAAATTAAAAAAAAAAAAATTCCGGGATTTCGGGGGAGGCTGGAATTGGGGAAAAAAAAAAACCCCGGGGGGTTGGGAACGGGAAATCTCCTCCGAGGGTTTTGAGGGGCGGAGATATTTGGGAATTTGGCGGGATGGGCGGAATTCCGGCTTTTTTTGTTGTTGTTGTTTGTTGTTGTTGTTGTTGGTGATTCCCAGAAACATCACCAGCTGCGGATCAAGATCCTGGGGGATTGTTACTACTGCATCTGCGGGCTGCCGGAATTCCGGGAGGATCACGCCGCCTGCTCCATCCGCATGGGGCTGGCCATGGTGGAGGCCATCGCGTAAGAGAAGCGGGGATGGCGGCGGGAATGACGGGAACGGCAACGGGAACGGCGGGAATGGCGGGGTGGGAATGGCAACGGGAATGGCAACGGGAATGGCAACGGGAATGGCAACGGGAATAACGGGAACGGTGGGGTGGGAATGGCGGGAAGGACGGGAATAACGGGAATGGTGGCGGGAATGGGGTGGGGATAACGGGAATGACGGGAATGGTGGTGGGAATGGCGGGAATGGTGGTGGGAATGACGGGAATGGCGGGGTGGGAATAACGGGAATGGCGGCGGGAATGGGGATGGGAAGGACGGGAATAACGGGAATGGTGATGGGGATAGTGGGAATGATGGGAATAATGGGAGTAATGGGAATGGGAATAATGGGAATGATGGGAATAATGGGAATGGTGGGAATGGGAATGATGGGAATGATGGGAATGATGGGAATAATGGGGATGGGGATGGGGATGGGAAGAATGGGATAATGGGATAATGGGATAATGGGATAATGGGATAAATGGGATAATGGGATATGGGATAATGGGATAATGGGATAATGGGAAGAATGGGAATGGTGGCGGGAATGGGGATGGGGATAACGGGAATGGCGGGAATGGCGGCGGGAATGACGGGAATGGGGCGGGAATGACGGGAATGACAGTTGGAATGGGAATGACGGGGATAACGGGAATAATGGGAATGGTGATGGGGATAGTGGGAATGATGGGAATAATGGGAGTAATGGGAATGGGAATAATGGGAATGGGAATGGGGGTGGGAATAATGAGAGTAATGGGAGTAATGGGAATGGGAATAATGGGAATGGGAATAATGGGAATGGGAATAATGGGGAAGGGAATGAGAATGGAATAACGGGATGGGATGGGAATGGGAATAATGGGAATGGGAACTGGGATAAGATGGGGATGAGTATGGGAATGGGGATGGGAATAATGGGAATAATGGGAATAATGGGAATGGGAATCGGGATAAGATGGTGATGGGAATGGGAATAGGAATAATGGGAATGGGAATTGGGATAAGATGGTGATGGGAATGGGAATAGGAATAATGGGAATGGGAATGGGATTGGGAATGGGAATGGGAATGGGGATGGGAATAATGGGAATAATGGGAATAGGAATAATGGGAATGGGAATGGGATCGGGAATGGGAATGGGAATGGGGATGGGAATAATGGGAATAATGGGAATAGGAATAATGGGAATGGGAATGGGATCGGGAATAGGATCGGGAATAGGAATGGGAATGGGATCAGGAAGAGGAACGGGAATGGGATCAGGAACGGGAATGGGATGGGAATGGGATGGGAATGGGAATGGGAATGGGATGGGAATGGGAGTGGGAATGAGAATGGGAATGGAATGGGGGATGGCTGTTGCCGACGGAGGCCGGAGAGCAGCCGCATTCCCTGCGCTTTGTCTGCGTTCCCCACGGATACTCCGCGTTCCGTACCGGCACTGCCCGTTCCCCATGGACATTCCCCGCAGATATTCCCCACAGCCATTCCCACTTCCCTCCGGCCATTCCCGTGCCCGTTCCCACTTCCCTCCGGCCATTCCTGTGGCCATTCCCACTTCCCTGTGGCCATTCCTGATTCCCTGTGGCCATTCCTGTGCCCATTCCCACTTCCCTGTGCCCGTTCCCGCACCCACTCCTGCGTCCCCGTGCCTATTCCCGTGCCTGTTCCCACTTCCCGGTGCCCATTCCCCATTCCTGCACCCATTCCCATTCCCATGCCCATTCCCGTGCCCGTTCCCCATTCCTGTGCCCATTCCCACTTCCTCGTGCCCATTCCAGCTCCCACTCCAGCGTTCCTGTGGTCACTCCGGCAGCCATTCCCGTTCCCGTTCCCATGCCCACTCCTGCGTTCCTGTGCCCATTCCCGCTCCCACTCCGGTGTTCCCGCCATCACTCTGGCGGCCGTTCCCGTGCCCATTCCCATTCCCATTCCCATTCCCATTCCCATTCCCCCTTCCCCCTTCCCCATTCCCATTCCCCATTCCCCATTCCCATTCCCCATTCCCATTCCCATTCCCCATTCCCATTCCCATTCCCCATTCCCATTCCCATTCCCCATTCCCATTCCCATTCCCATTCCCCATTCCCCATTCCCATTCCCATTCCCATTCCCATTCCCATTCCCATTCCCATTCCCATCCCCATTCCCATTCCCATCCCCATTCCCATTCCCATTCCCATTCCCGTTCCGTCTCTCCGGCGGCAGCTCGGTGCGGGAGCAGACGCGCACGGCGGTGGACATGCGTGTCGGGGTGCACAGCGGCGCCGTGCTGGGCGGCGTGCTGGGACAGAAGCGCTGGCAGTTCGACGTCTGGTCCACCGACGTCACCGTGGCCAACAAGATGGAGGCGGGCGGAATTCCCGGGTGAGCCTCGCCCGCCGCCGCGGTGGGGACGGCGCGGTGGGGACATCGCGGT